TAATGAATATGCTTAAAGCTTTCTCAAACATCCTACTACCTACCGTGTAGAAATTCGGGATAATAGTGTTTCACCTATTTTTATTTATTTGTTTTATCCTACGTCATTTTTTACATCACAAAAACTTAGCTAATAAACATGGAGCTGTGGTGGTAAAGTACGCTGATAACCAACAGATAAATCCAAAAGTATCTTCAACACGCAGATTCCAGAAATGTTACACAGTGAATCAATTGAACACAAATACTGGAACCCTAGGAATTATAAATTGTATTTTGTAGTTAAAATAACGAATGAATAGAATAGTATTAAATCACTTGATAGTTCATGCATGTTTTATTAACTTGTATTGTTTAGGCCTATACCGGTGATATTATTTATAGACAAGTAGCAGTACTGTGGCATTTACGAGATGTGATTCAATTGCTTAGGCCTTACTTAAGCCATTATATATTACTGTTAGGGCCTAATGTTAGCTAATACAATAATAGGATTTATTTCGATTCAATTCAAATGTTTGTGGGTGTGACAGTGTAATTGAAACGTACACAACTATTCCATTAATACTTAAGCTTATGTCTAATTAGGCTTTTAGTGTTATATTACTTATAAGTTATAACCCTCGGAATTGCCGTCGAGCCACTGGGAGACATAGTAAATTATGAACCAACTTGCAATTTGTTTTTGTAAATATGGTCTTATATTAGATTCACCCGTACTTTTATTGAAGAAGGTTTGTTTTGTTGTTTTTTTTTGGGGGGGGGGGGGGTATAGAACGTAACTTGTTCCGTATGTTTTCCCGCAGATTTGAGCAGTATTATTGAGCATGCGCAACCAGAATGATACTACTTTCAAATACGTCAAAAGAATACTACGTTCAATAACTTTAAGACGTCTTCTGATAGACTAATTGGCCAATTTTGACAAATACTAAACCGCAATTTTACTTAAGTAAGAAATTCAGCATATACCAACAGATGGTACATTCATATTAAATCTTTATAGTCCTCTTTACTGATGGTCCACCGGTGACGTAACGCCACGAGGTAGTAAATTAATCAATAATAACGAATTACCTAACAGTAACAACTATTTACACTGTAATACATCACAAGACAAACTTCTACTTAAGCATTTTTTATATCCATGGGCAGAAATTAGATTTTATACTGAAGAAGAAGCTCAAAATTAACAGTATTATTGGTAGGCATAGACGTAGGTGCCTATTGGGTTATTCAAGCTAGGCTTATAACTCTATTAAAATACGGGTTTTTTGTTTGCATATCTGATCCAATATTAATATTAGTTTATAAAATACGCTTGAGAAAAAATAAGGGGTGTCGGTTTTTATATTTAGTTACTTTAAATGCTGGAAAATAATTTGATTTTAATACAAATTTAAAGGTTAATAAAAATTTAAGCTAAAGTACAAAAACAACAATGTGGCTAAATGCACTAGATTATTTATAATTATGTAAGTAAATTTTGCAAATTTTAACCATCACCAGTCACCCTCATAGCTTACTACTACTACTATTCATCATACATAAACACTTATGATTGTATGTTTTATGGCTTCATATACACCTATGATTGTGGGGTTATTGTTTGAAAATAAGCTGGTTAGAAAATAAGGATAAAATACTTGAAATTTTGGCAGTATCAGGGAACATTTCTGATGATTGATAGATTGTTAATGTGATGTGGTGTTTTCAGGTAAAAACTCTTGATTTCCTGACAAGTATCAAATAAATATATCTGCAAATAACTACAGATTCGTTCAGGAAATAAGGAGAGTGATTCTGATTCATGATGTTTGTAAAATAAAGAAACTGGATAAAGTTGGGAAAATGACAATAATTTGTATTCTAACAGAGAGAAGAAATGTGGCATTTGTACTTGTGCATATTGAAATACAGTCACTTCTATTGTGCTCAATCCATTAGCTTTTTCTTCCTTACAGGATAGACTTCCATCAAACTAAACATGATGACCTCAAAAGTAAGTCTTTACTCTGTAACTTCAGTAACATCAGGGTTACCTACCAAACCTACACTCTGTAGCAACATTGGTGTCATTTGGAAGCCATCAAACTCAACTTATTTTCATTTCAGGCTTCACAAAGTAAATGATCACTGTTAAAATTCAGATGAATAAAGACTTGTACTAAAAGTATTTACCAAGATTAAAATTCATATAACTCCAATAAAAGCTCACAGAAAGCTGCACTCCCTCTTCAATCATAGATCTTGTTTATCTTCCACAAAGATCAATAAAAAATCTAGCAAGCACTGGGTGATATTATTTGCAGAGCTTTTGCTACTCAGCCAAATTGTCAGAGTGATTTTATCTAAACATTGGACAACATTTTGCATCAGAAAATTTACTACTTTCTCAGAAAGCAAGGGTTTGCAACACATTTAAATCATTATTTAACAATCATGATAGTCTTAACTGTTGATAAACAAGTGATAATTCCATAATATAGTACATGCCCATCAGTATCATTTGACAGTGTGGAAAGCCACTTCCTTTTAGTCATGATTTTAGAGATCATTAACTGTTCTAACTGTCAATGATTGAGTAGCACCCACCAAATATAGTTATTACACTCTGCTGGACCTACTACACAATAACTCAGAAAGCAAGGAATGCTGTTTTCTTTTAATCATTGTTTTTGTGAACATGGGGTTGTTTTAGCTTTGAAGATCAAGTAGTACCACTACAATGTAGTGAATAGATTGTGTTGTGTTTCCATTTTATTGAGAGCCGACAGTGATACTTCTGTCTTCAAATCAGCAGTAGTATGATGCAAAACTAAAGAAACCATGGATTTTTTGCTTTTTTTTACAGGTGAAGAACAATCTCACACCATGAATAACCTTAACCAGGTCCATTGAGATTCCATCTCTTCATACAATGTGACCAAGAAACTCCATCTCTATTTGAATAAGCAAACACTTCCCTGGTTTCATTGTCAAGCCATTCTTCTGTATGCACTGAAATATTGCCTTTAGGTTCCCAGACACTGACTCAAAAGGGTAGTAAAACACCAAAACATTGTTTATGTAGACCAACCACTTCTTCCATTGCAGTCCCTTTTGTGTAAGCTCCATCAGCTGCTTGAAAGTTGCTGATGCATTACAGAGGCTGAATAGCGTATTGTAGAATTCAGAGACAGTCTCTTGTACTAAAAGCAGTTTTAGTTGTCCAGCTAAACTTGTCAAGATCCAAGGTGTTAAATTGATGGGAGTCTTATGCATCCAGACATTCATTTATCCATACTTAAGGAAAGGCACCAACATGAATTACCACCTTTCCTCATTGCAGTACACAAAACCTTGGCATACTTTCTTTCTTACAAGCACTACTGGAGATGAGCAAGCACTTTCCAAAGGCTGTATGATTCCATTCTGCAGTATCTTCTGTATTTCAATGCTTGCCATCTCCCTAGTTACCAGAGGTAATATGTATCACAGTTGCCAGGTTGTGGTTATTATATATAGAAGGTACATTTATTCAATTGTATTCCTGTATACAACCTATAATTTCTTTAAAGAATTCCTATATTTTTATAAAAAATGTTTGAGAGGGCTGGTAGCGAAGAAGGAAATCTTCTTTTTTTTTTTACAAAAAGTCTTTGATAGATCATTTAATATGAGAGTAGTTCTTCACAGGCAATTTTTTTTTCATTTATTCAGGCTATTGCATAATTATTCAATGATCGCAAGATGTTTAAAATGTTATAAAAAATTTAGATATTTATTGTTATCAGGAATTTATTAGTACTTACATTGTTATTATTAATAGAAGAAATGTGTGTGTAATAATATGAGAATATACATAATGATTATGTGTCAACAGACACCTGAACCTGAAGGAAGAGATAATGTAATTTCTCACAACTTGGTTTATGATAGGAAGTACCTGTAATACAGTGAACTTGAGATGTTTCAAGGTAACTTACAGATAGATAATTGGCTCAGCGGTAAGTCTCTGGACTTACAATGCTAAAAATTGAATTTTGATACAATAAGTTCATTGTGTAACTTTGTGCTAAATAACAAACAAATGAAAATGTTTTGATTTCCTTCCTGTACAACTTGGTCTGACATGGATGCTTGACTTTGAATCCCCATCCTACCAAACATGCTCACCCTTTCAGCCATGGAGCATTATAATTTGATGGTCAATTCCACTATTTGTTGGTAAAAATCTTTTACTGCTAAATTAGGGACAGCTAGGGCAAATATCTCTCGTGTAACTTTGGATGAAATTCAAACCAAACCTATACAACTTATTTTACATAATTTAGCAGATAGTTTAATATGTAAAGAACACAATTTTATAGATAGAGAATGCAATTTAAGAAAATACTATCTGTGTATTGATTTTACACTTATTGCAATAGATTAAACATTTGTTATACCTAATTGTAATAATAGTAACAGCTTTATATTTTCCAAAATATAAAGAATCTGTCCATTTCACCTCATGGAATACAATATGTAATTTAATATTTTCTTCTATATTAGTGTATCATGTAGGTGTTAGAATCTGCCAGGAAATCTAGTGGATAAAAATATTTAGTAAAAATAAGTTTATGATATAGTCATGCAACTTTGTGACTAATTCCATATATCTTATGGTCAGCATATTTTAGGATTTTACCCTATAGCAGGCTTTCAGTTTAGGAAACAATCCATTTTTACAGTATACACCCATCAACTGGGCAGAATCTAGGAAACCTTATACTTGAATAGCCCACTAACTTGTTAATTTCATGTTTTGTAAATAAACTGGAAAGGTGGTTATCTGTAATAAAATAAAATTGTCACACAAAAGATCATTATGTTTAGATACACAGTTATTGAAAAGTTGATATCTTTGGTGTTTTTATGTGTGTGTGTGTGTGTTTTAAGCTGTTTGAACTTAGTGCTGAACTTATGTATCTTTATATTTTTTCCCTTAGGTGAATCTGTTAATTGAAAAAAATAGAGATGTTTGTGATAGAAATTGCATTTTGGTCTGTGTTTGCAAGATTATTAATCTTGAATGGAATACCTGGAACTCCTGCTTTTAGGTGAGAGCCAAAATATTATATTTCTAAGCAAGTAACAGCAGTTACTTTGGTAGAGTAGAACATTGGATTTAGACTTATTTATGTTAAAACCCATCTGATAGACATGTTGAGTAAAGCTAGCAAAAGCCTATTTACATTACTTGTGTTGTACTTATATACATAAACTTTTTGAAGTCAGATCTCCAATATTAAGATTAAAATGGGGGATAAAAAATCAAGGTGTGGTATTTTGCAACTTGTGTATTTCTCCCAGAATAGTTGGTTAGGGTCTGATAACTGGAGGTTTGAAGGATACCAAATGTGTTTGTTTATCTTTCTGATTTGTAACTGGGTTTATCAGGAAAAAAGAGTCAAATCATGGAAGATGCACATGACTAAATCACAAGGCCAGTTACCAACATAAGACAAAACAAAGCATGGGCAAGTGGGTCTGTTGTGGCTATGTTAGACTGGTGAGAAGCAAAGAGGAAGTATAATCTTAATGAGCTCTCTCTCACCAGTCTGGTGTGTGCCCCCTCTTTAAGTTAAACCTCAAAGTTACATTAGAATAAAACATTTTTTGCACTGACAGTTAAAATAAAGTACTCTACTAATAGGCTACAACAAATTTTATAGTTATAAAAAAATAAAAGCTCTAAAGAAAAGGTAAGTGAAAAGTCTTGCCAAAATCTCAGTTCACTTGCAGTATATATGCAACATCAAAAATAAAGTTTTAAGTTTAGAAGTTTGAAAAAACTGCAAAAAAAAATGAGAACCTGGCATTTAATACAAAGCATACACAAAAGACAACTTTATACTCCTGGATATCACACACACTGTTTTCCTTATAAAAAACTCTGTTAATTGCCAATTAGAGAAGAGGTCCCAGAAAAAGCTAGCAGGAACAAAATTTAGATATGTGTCTTTGAATGGTTTTCCACACCAAAATTAAACTGTATGAGAATACAGAAATTTTAAGAAGAAATAACTATTAACTAAGTGAGTAAAACCATACAGTACTATCCTGTACCACAAAAGTAAAATAATTCCATTTGACCAATTAAAGTCACCTTCCCATCTGCCAAAACAAACAAGCAAAGATGTGAAACAAGAATTAAAATCTGCCTTTCACATCCACACAAACATATATATATTCAATAAGTTTTTAAAACAACTAACAGCACATATTACTCCTTACTCAAACTGATAAACAAGATTACAACAGTAACTTTGCCAAAAGTCACATCTTCAAAGTTGAAACTTACTTACTTCTAGTATCCTTTCATTCCACCAGGCAAAGAAACCAACCATAAGCTTATTCAAGTCTATACAAAGTCTTAATGAACTCATTTCTAATTATTTTATGTTGCAAAAAAAAAACACATCAATATTTTTTTGCTTATGGAAATTAAATTTAAAATCTTTTAGTTTAAATATTTTCTAAAATGCATTTGATACTTCTAACTATATTTATAACATTATGCAATTGTTAGGACTTCATAGAGTCTTTTCGTAAACAACTAAACTATCATTGAAATATATAACTAGGAACCAATCTTTTAAAGAAAACAGTTTTTCAACAGACAAAATAAAACCTCCCTTTATTTATTTTCAATCAAACATGACACCCCAGTGTTTTAAGACTTGTTAGACATACCATATATTCCATGCCTTTTTTTTTTTCACATCTGTGATAATTATTTCCTATACCTTGCAACAAAGTTTGACAGAGAAACTTCCCTTCAAATGTAGCATATAAAATGCAGGTATATTTCCTTGTTGTATAACACTTAACTTATTCTACCAATATCTCTATGATATTGTGACCATAATTTTAGGAGTTATTACATTTTGTTTGTATTTTCATGCCAAGAATTGTACAACTGTCCTTATTCTTTCTGTTATAACATAAACTAAAAGATTGAGAAGTTGTTTAGGTAATCAGCTTTTGTTGTGGTGTAGAACTATTTTTGAGATTTATATGTTTGTGATATAAACACATTGTTTTTTTTTCTTAACTCAAAAATAAGTTATTGTTATGGTATTTGAAAGAGTAAATAATTAATATGTATTAATTTTTTTCTATATTAACAGTCCTACATATATATGGTATATATAAGCATGTCATGTGTTTCCTACCTTCATCTTTTAATATATTATTTTTTAGAATTTTCTAGTATTATGGTATATGAAGTTTTCATATAACATAGTTAAGAAAGTTAAGTTGTTTTCATTCTAGCTGCCTGTGTTCTTTGTCATTCTCTTGAGGTAACTTGGTCTGCCAATGAATGGCATGGCGATAATGCTGCACATTGTGCAGGGACATTAACATCTGTATCCTCCTTTGGTAGATCAGGTGACACCTTGAGGTTATGACCTCCCTTAAGTTTGATTGAAAATGACCAGCCACATGGGTAGTGCTAGTTGATCTTGGTAAGTATGGCATTGCCTTGGAAGTAAGTAATCTTAGGTTCAAACAGTATGGTATATGATCTAAGCCAATGCAGTTTGGTGAGAAAACAGCTTACCATCCAGTAAAAATGAATGCCCAACATCCTAAGCAAATATATACACTGTTTGTGTCATTAAATAAAATATTTCCATTGTATCCAGTCTCTTTATTTCATTGTCAAGAACTCAGTGAATTTCAGAAAAATACAGAACTACTCTGTAAAAGATATCTTGTTGAATCTCCTGTTATTCAGTGGACCTATTCCATCGCTCTGAGGAAAATCAGTTTCACCTGAAAAAACACCTGTATTATATTTCTGGTTTTCATATGTATTTATATTGGCATGAATATAATTTTGTAAGATTGATTTTATGAATACTTTCACAAAGAGAATTGAAATATATATATATGTTCTTCACTCCATAAATCCATTTAGTAACTTATACAGTTTGTGGTACTTATTTGTATGCCTGAAATAATAATTAATTAAGCCCAGCTATAAACTTCAAACCAAACTTGATAATGCATTAATACATGTAATGCATTTATGCAGGTTTATTTTAATGTTTGTGTCTTCCCTGATTAGCTTTAAGAGCATGAACCATTTGTATAATTGTATTTCCATTATTAACAAATCATGATGTTTTTTTGGACAGTTTACCTTGAGCCTTCTGTTACATCACTGAAAAATTAATGTTGGTTTTTTTTATCAAAAGCCTCTTTGGCTGAAGCTACACATTTAATTTAAGTCAAATCTTTTGTAATGAGATCATGGTTTTCATCTTTAATAATGCAGTTTTTTCTCATTCTATCTTTGATGTTATTTTCTTATTAGTGCAGAAATTATAAGGTACTTACATGTATGCTTTTATTCTGTGACTTTATTTCCATTGTAGTTGAATATACATTTGCCAGGAACTTTTTGCATATATTCTGTTTTTGTCTAGTTTTTGAAGAATTGGTAAATAATATCATGCATAATATATATTCTTTAGTTGCTGCTTTCTGTTCTGAATTGTAATCATATCCCAGCAAATTTGGCTTCTTCCAATATTTATAACATCAGTCTCCTACTTTTTTAAAGAAAATATGTCATGAGCTGGTTATTTAACCATCCCAAGAAAATTTACTTTCTTAGCTTTAAACACCTAGCTATTTAATTATTATCATAGTTCCATCTGTCTCCTGGATGTGTTGATAGTACTATAATGCTGGAAAGAGTTGATTTTTATTTAAATATTTCTCATTATTTTGAAAGTCTTAGTGGCTGGGCTAGATTAATTGTGAATAACTGAAACTTGGTTAGATGTAGACAATTTCGACAATGGAAATTTAATTGAAATGCAGAATTATAGGTTCTGTAATATAAATAGGGTACTAAAAAGAGGGGGAGGTGTGGTTTTATATGTAAAATGTAAATTACATCCTGTTGAAGTTGAAGATATCAATAGCAAAGAGGTTGAATCTATTTGGGTTTCTTTTAGTGGATATAGGAGAGAAGGCTTTTAGTTGGAATTGATCACTGACCACCAGATGACATTAATTTCCTGTAAAGCTTCTCATTAATACTAATGAGGTGTTAATTATGGAGAATTTTAATTTCAAGCACATAAATTGGAAAGTTTTAGAGACAAACCATTTGAGAGACAGGTTTTTAGAAACCATTTAAGATGGTTTTCTTCACCAGTTGGCCACAGAGCCTTCTCAAAACAATGCTATTTTAGATTTATTGTTAACTTCTAACACAGAAATTGTTAAGAGGGTGGAAATTAGAGAACATCTGGGTGCAAATGTTTGTTGCTGAATTAGATTTGATGTTTTACTGCATATGGAGATTAAGAATAATGAGATTTTGGTTTAAAATTTTAAAAAGCAAATTTTAAAGGGATACAATAAGAATTTCTATTGTTAATTGGCAACTGAATTAATTGGAATTGTTTATCAAGTTCATAAATGTTTGGAGATAAATTTTAAATATTCAAGAGAGACATGTTCCTTACATAAAAGGTGACTGAAATAAAATACAAGGTTGGTTCACAAAGAATATATGAGATAAAAGTAAAGTAAAGCATTCTAAATTTAAGAAGTTTAAAGCTGACTGTTATGATGGGAGCCTTAAGAAACAGTAGAAGATCTAGAGAGTTGGTCAAATAACACATTAGGCATTCAGAAAGGGTATATGAAAAACGTTTTGTTTAACAGCCAGGATTTCTTCAAACACATTAAGGATAAGCACATATCAGGATGATAGAAGAGTTTTTGAGGAATGATAAAGGATGCTGATGATTTACAAAAAAAATATCTTATATTATTGAATGGGTTGGGTGAATAAAGAACAGATAGCTTTTAATTATAATAAATGCATGGTAATACACGTGGGTTCTCATAAGTTAAATTATAAGTTTTATTTTGATGAGAATAATCGTTACAGTGTTATGGAAGAAAAGGATCTTAGTGTTTTGGTTTAACAGTTTCTGAAGCCATTCAAGCAGTGTGATTTTGCTAGTGGCAGAGCAAATAAGAATTTAGGTTGTATTTATAGAAATATTGAAAATAAGTCTAAAGAGGTTATGATTTCATTTTATTGTTCACTGGTTAGGCTTTATTTGGAATATTGTGTTCACTATTGGGATCCTTACCTTAAAAAGAGCATTGAATTGTTGGAAAGGGCTCAAAGAAATGTTAGTGGGATAATACCTGGAATGGAAAGGTTAGCTTGTCATACTAGAACATGTTAGAGGGGATCTGATTGTAGCATTTAACCCTTTGACTGTCGCTGCTTTAAATGTATGCAAAATTTTTGTGAGCTGTACACTCTATACAGCAAACTCACATTCAACTACCTGAGGCAGACCGTACCCTATATGTCGAATCAGCATTTAATGGCTTAAGATTGTTCATGGAACTGATAGTGTCAGGTGTCATGTTTTTCAAACTCACATTCAACTACCTGAGGCAGACCGTACCCTATATGTCGAATCAGCATTTAATGGGTTAAGATTGTTCATGGAACTGATAGTGTCAGGTGTCATGTTTTTTGATACTCAGTGTTGAGAATGGTAGGACAAGTGGACAAAATATAAAAATAAACAGGGTAGGAATTGCATTGAGCAAACACAGTTGTATTTTTTTTACAGAGTGGTTTAACATTGGAATGTTTTGTCTTCAAATGTGGTAGATGCAATGAATTTAAGGGAATATTTGATAAATATTTAAATAATAAGGGCCAGCTTTTATTATTATATGCTGTCT